ATAAAAATGAAAGAGAATAAAAACATGATAGGAGAAGCAGTGCGGTATTTTAATTCTTTAGTAACTACTATAAATTCAGGACTTGATGCACCTATTCCTAACCGTCATCCTTGTCAGAAATACAATGATGAAATTGATGATGGATTACAAGATTATATTGAATTGATTTATAAATTGCAACAATATACCTGATGCAGTCCATCCTATTGTCTTTGTATTAACAAAGCAAGACAACAATTTTGTAGATTTGGTTACCTGAAAGAAAATACAGAACACACTATTGTTCGAGATGATGGGCATGGGAGGCCAGAACTTGTTACTGCGAGAAATGATCTGCTAATCAATCCACATAGTCATCTTCAGCTACAGGGTTGGTGAGCAAATATGGATCTAAAACCGATTCTAAGTATACATGTAGCTTTGCAGTACGTTTCTAAATATGCAAGCAAAGCAGAACCTCAATCTCGTGTCTATTTTGAGATTTTGAGTCAGATACTCCATAACAACAATTCTGATAACCCATTTATTACTTCAGTACAAAAATTATTATTACAAAATATTGCAGATCGAGACATTTCTGCCCAAGAGACGTGTTATCTTATGCTAGGCATTCTTCTTTACTACTCAAGTCATTTATTCGTTTCTTTAAATCTTAATAAAGAAGTATCGCGATGGATTCATGAAACAGATAGCAGTAAAAATGATTTTAATAGGACTAATAATTTAGAACGAATAACAAAATCACCCTTGAAGATATACTAGGAGCATTCTGTCAAATTTGAGAATTTCTCATTATTTAAGCTTTATTTAATATATAAATTTAGTGACAATATGTAGAAAAAATATGACAAAGAAAATATTATATGTACCTTTCCACGTTCTTCAACCATAATTAATAGCTCTCAATGGGAGGAGTTTTGTCAAATGAAAGTTATTCTTCATATAAAACATCGTAATCTTTAAGAACTAACTGAAAATGACAGCATTGTATAGTCAACTTTATATAGTTATTACCAAGATGAAATTAATTCATGCCTAGTGATTTGCTTGGACCACCAATAAATAACGAAGAAATCGAAAAAGAAGAAGACAATTATGAAGAACAACTTGAGGAAGATGAGCAAAATGAATTCTGATTTGATTGGATGTTCCTAGCGGAAATGGGTCCTAATGCAAATATTGTTAGTTTATCAGAATTAGGATCTCATAATATGAATCAGAATTATGACTAGAGCAATAATACTAAGCAATGATACTCCAGTAGCGATCTTGCAAATGCTAACACTTTTGTATAACAAGCTTCTGGCAATAATCAAATAGAAGAAAATCATGATGAAATAATAGATTATGAAACTCTAAATGAAAATCAAACTGTAGTTTTTAAGAGAATAGAATTATATTACCTTAATACGCTTTCGGAACATCAAGATGAACTATTAAGGATTATCATAATAGGGACAGCAGGGACAGGAAAGTCATATCTCATTAAGGTGATAATATGTTGTCTTCATGAGATAGAAGAAAATGGTGCTAAAATACCCATACTTATACTTGCTCCAACAGGAGTTGCAGCATTCAATATTAATGAAATGATGATACACTCAGCACTCAACATCCCAATAGTTACTGAGGTATCTTGATATAAATGGTGATAAGTTAAAAAAGCTACAAGAGAAGTTAAAAGATATAAGGTATTTGATTTTTGATGAGAAAAGTATAATTGGACATCAAATGCTTGCTATGATTGATTTGCGTCTACGCCAAGCTTTTCCAGAGCATAATAATGAACCTTTTGGTGGCAAATCAATTTATTATGTTTGGTAATTTTAGTCAACTTCTACCTGTACTTGATCTTCCTATATATACAAATGGTTTGCATGATTCATTATCAAATAATGGCCATGCAACATATCTATAGTTTTGGGAAGTGTATAAACTTGAAGTTGTGCAATGATAATCTAGAAACTCTGAAGAACAAAAAGGCTTTAGAGAAATTCTTTTATAGCTACGCAATGGAGAATCTACTTTTGATAATTGGAAGACACTCACTATGCGATTTGAGGATAAAGTAATCAGAGAAGAGCATGAAGAGTTCTCAAATGCTATATTTCTTTTACCAATATGATCTGAAGTCAATACAATCAATATAGATAAGCTTAGACTACTAAATATTTTTGTTGCAAAAATTTTTGCAGTACATATGGGTGGTAATGAAGCTAAAAAAGCTGATTTTGATATCACGCATAGCCTTGAAGCACAACTCTTACTCGCAAAAGGTGCCTGCGTTATGCTGACAGCAAATATCTGGATAGAAGCAGATTTAGTTAATAGTTCAGTAGAGATTATATATGATATTTTATTCAGAAATCAAGGACCACCTTCCCTTTCTATTGCTGTTTTAATCAACTTTGAAAATTACAAAGGTCCTACTATTAGCAATTTAGAAGGGACAAAAGTTGTTCTGATTACATCTATCTGACATACCTGGGAAGGAAAATCAAAAATGCTTCTCTCATAACAACAAATTCTCATTCATCTGGCATGGGTCATTACGATTCACAAAAGTCAAAACCTTACATTAAACAATACTACTATATCACTTGGTGCTAAAGAGTTTGCCGCAGGTCTTTCATTTATAGCAGTTTCAAGGGTCTGCGCACTTAATGGTCTTTGCTTTAAGCTGTTCAGTTATGACAGAATTCAGAGAATTAAAGACTATAAAAGAGTCTGAGAAAGAAAAGTCGAAAAAGAAAGGCTTATTTCTATGATATCAGGGAAGTAGAGATATATTTCTAATCTGTAGTAAATTTGTAACATTTGCAGATAAAGATTAGTGGTGAACATAAAAACTGCAAAAAAAAAAATAAATAAAAAGTAAAAAAATTAGTAATGAGCACAAAAAAAATAAGCGCAAATACTGTATATCGGTATATTGATACAATAGAGATAAAATCACTACCCTAAAAAGGTTCATGAGCAAGAAAACCTCAAAAGCAGGTATAATGTAACATGATCAAGAAAAACAAATATGCGTTTTGTCAAAAATCGATTATAACTCAAAATTTAGTCTAGGAAACTGATGTTGGCATAGTAATTAAAAGTTTTTCTTGTAAAATTTTGCTATAATAAATAGTTTCGACAACAATCTAATAACAAAGTCCTAAAAAAAGTGAAACATTTTTTAGTAGCGATTCTACCTTTATAATATTGATATGTATAGCGAGCAATAAAAAAAAATTTGAGTATAGTAGTGTAAGTTAGTGAAAATTTGCAAATAATAGTAAGTTAGCGCAATCTTATGATGATAATATAGGGAGGCAACGGCTGAGTTTTAATTTATATTAGTACAAGTGAAAAAACCGTGATCATGTGAGTTTGAGGATCATCATACAGAGTATTCAACCAATCATCATCGCAAAAGCAACAGACAGACATGAGTATGTGATAAAAATGATCAACTGCTGTCATAAAAACAGAGAGTCCTCTGCTTTACTCTGGACAATAACATTTTAATAATCTGGAGTAGGTTATACTTCAGAGCAAAATATCGATCGATTTGGTGAAAAACATCAATTTACACCAATTAACAATAATAATACAATACGGATAACGTAATAATAACAAAAAATTTCATACCTTCTGGTCAATAACTTAGATAACCCCCTAGCATCACTACTCTAAAAAATTTCACTACTATTTCGCCAGCCAATCAGAATTCAAGATCTGGTATAACATGAAAAAATACAAAAAATCAAAACAAACCAAAAAATCATTCATAACTCAACATTTTATCTATGAAACTGCTTTCTGCACATTAACAAAAAGTTTTCCTTACGAAATTTTGATATTAAAAAACCTTTTTTTAACCTAACTTAATAGCAAAACCTAACCTTAATTTAACTGCGAAATTTTTTTTAGCGAAATTTTTTAAGTTGGTGATGCTAGAGTTTTAACTTAAATTGCCAACTTTATATTGCTCAGCCTAAATTATACTTAATTTTGCCCAAAATTCATGTTATACTGCATTAAAAATTTTTAAAAATCTTATCGCTATGATTTGATCATTTTATATATGACCAATACAAATCGATATTCTATGTCCCTGCTTCAGAGTTACTTTACTCCATTAACATTTTTGATTTTGATTGGATCTTTTTTCTATTATTGAACTAGAGTGTTTAGGATTATGATATAATATAATATGCGTATAATTCAATCTATGTATCACATATGCATTATGCATTGCATAATTCAGGCTATTTTATATAATATTGTAATAATTGCCCATAATATATAAACCAAAGATTTTTTAATCAATAAAATTGCTTATATCAAATATAAGACTTATATAGCAACTAATCATACTAAATAATTTTTTTTAATTATATAATTTAGCCCAATGAGATTAATCTTATATTTTATTATAACCTTTTAAATTTTTTTTTTATATCTAAGTTCAAAATTGATATTAACTATATTAATTAATTTTAAGTAATCTAAATTTATATACTGTATATAAAATAAAAAGTTATATAATTTAGCACATGTGTGTTGTAACGCATCCACCTGATCGACCAATCAGATCGTAAGATCAGGTATAATATGAAATCGAAAAAATAGTGATATTTTAAAAAAATCACTTGTAACTCATAATTTTGCTTATGAAACCACTTTTTGCGTTCTAACAAAAAAATTCTTTGCAAAATTTTGGGTATAACTAGCATTTATCTAAAATCTAACCCAACCATAAATTAGTGCTAACCCTTACCCTAAATTAATGTATCATTAGTTTGTTTTGATTT